AAGTCAGAAGCATGGAAATGGTAGAGGAATGGCCAAAAATATTTTGATGGAGAAAATAAGCAAACGCAGTTTTCATTTTTCTCCCTAATTCACACAACTTGCAGTTATTTTTTAAAGAGATTACAGCCTCTAAATTTTTCAGCAGCCCATGAATTCAGCTAATAAGAACTATCAGAGTGAAAGGTCAAAGTATAAACCTAGTTGATCCCAAAGCAATTGGCTACTGAAAGTTAAAAAACAAAACAAAAACAAACAGAAAAACAAAAAACAAAGCAAAACAAAACACCCAAAGGGGTAGAAAGAGAAAACTCAAAGCATTTAATCAGAAACAGCTATGCAGGTAAACGTTCATTTTATGAAAAAGCCACTTAATACATAAAACGTTAACCTGAAACCGTTTCAGCTCTTTCTGTTCCAGTAGCTAAACTCCAATTTGAGAAACAGACAAATTCTAAAAATGGAAAGAATTTTTAACATGCTTCAACCAGGTCTGAATTTGGTCTTCAAATAGTAAAGAGGCAAAACAACAGTGTCTAACAATTTTTCTTCCCTATTTTAAATTAGGTTCTCTCTGCTTAGCCTTCTTATGTCAGAAGGCTAAAGTAAAGCTTAGCTGAACATCTCTCATTCAAAGTTTCTCCCTCCTCAAATGAAAATTAGCCTCAAAGTAGAGAGAGTAAATTTTAGACAAAAGTATTTTTCAAAAATTAAATAAATCAAATATTAGAGAAGAGCTGAGTGTCTCCAGAGATCCCAGAGGGATTAAATAAGAGTCACATTTTAATTAATTCTGTAGGCAACAGCCTTAGGCATCTGTCAGATCCACAGCTCAGCTTTCAAACAGACATAGCATCTGGACAATCCCAATGAAACTTGCCTTTCAGATGCATTTTTGTGCAGCAGTTTAATTTGTCACAACTGCTGGAGGCAATGCAATTGGCAGTGTTACTCACATTCATCACGGAGTTGATCTCAGCAACCGCATCGTCATCTGTGGGGAACTGGTAGATCTGCACACCGTTACTGACCAGCTCACTCATTATCTTTATCTTAAACTTGTGCAACTCGCTCTTGGAGATGGTGTCTGCTTTGGCAATAATTGGGATGATGTTCACCTACAGCAGGAGGAAGGAAAAAATAACCAGGTGAGCAATACAGCCAGGTAAGCCGCTCTGCAGGGAGTTTTGAAGCAGGCTGGGTGCTACTCCAACGGCCTGGGCCCTGCCGAGGCGGCTGCTTTACGTTCCCTAACACCACAGAGGTGCTCTGTTTTGCAAGTGAGCTGCAGCACAAGCCCAGCTGAACGCTAGAGGGAAGAGTTTTCCCGGATTATAATTTGGCTGCGAGACTTCCAGATAAACTGAAGACAAACACCCTGCAATAAACATACGCAATGAATAGATCAAAGCCTCTGCTCTTGCCTACGTATTTTGACACACACTTTAGTTGAGGCGGCAACACAACCGGCACCTCTCGAGTTGTCACCTATCCAGATCCACAGGCTGCGCTGAAAGGCCGTTTGAGATGACAAGTGCAAGGATGAAACACTGCAGCAAGATGATGTGAAACCTTCCCATGCTTAAAAAGAAAGAGCCGGGATGTCTCAGCTGCCTTTTACAGCAGCTGTAGAGCCTCAGGACTCCCCGAGCCTCGCTGCAAGAGTCATGGCTCATGTACGTTGTGTGGATTACACGGACCACCAGGGAACGGTGCAAGGCACCACAGAGCTGACAGGAGATTTGTTTTCACACAGCTTTGGTTTTGCATCCGCAGTCACTGGGCACAAAACACTGTGCGATTCCATCAGCCCAGGTTTCACACAACCCCCTCCAGGTCGCAGGGCGAGCAGACCCACCGTGTTCAGCACCTCCCGGGACCCCGAGCAAATGAGGGCCACGTCCCGCACCCGTCAGGAGCGATGCTGCTCACCGAGGACTGCGTCCAAGTCCACGTCCCGCATCCCTCAGGAGGGATGCTGCTCACCAGGGACCATGTCTGAGGAGTGGGGAGTGCTAAGGCAGGACACGAAAGCCCTCTTCTCTCCTCAGAGCCGGGCACAGGAGGAGGCAGTAGGAACGTGCACACTCATTTGGAGAGAGGAGGGGAGATGAAGTGACTTGCTTTCTTCTTGGGAGACAGAGTATGGAGGAGGAGCAGAGTGCAAGTGGCCTGAGGTATATGGAGAGGTTTAACAGACCATCCTGGAGTAGCTGGACCACACAAAGTCCAGGGCCAGCCGGGGTGACGAAGGCAGAAACGCTAAGCCTTCAGCCTGCCTCTGTCTCTGGTGGGCCAGAACAGGAGTGCAGCGTGTCTCGGCTACCGGAAAGGCTTGCTGGAGAGCAGCTTCTCTCACAGGAAGCTCTATTAAACAACGCTGCTATGCCCAGAAAAGTCAAGTGCAAAGCTGCTAACCACTGCTTAAACAAATAACAACAAAACTCTTCTGTCTGAACAGCGTTCAGATCCATACTAGTAAAACTCAAGAACTCAGGCAAACGAGGGGAAAGTCTGATTTGTCACCTAACGTTGCCCCACAGCCAACACTTTTTGTCCTACAGAGCTGAAATTCATAACAGCCATTTGGTCTCCAATGGATGACCATTAAAATAAATGAGTTTAGTTTTCCAGCTCAAGTTCTCTCTGTAGCTCAGTGTTTTTCCATACCTCTTGCTTTTTCTCTCCTCTGGTTTAGCACTCGCTAAATAGAAGAACGCTTACTCTTCCCAGAAGAAAAGCATCTTGATTTGCCTATTGCCCCCAAACAGTATTTCCTGCCTACGTGACTTTGGCAAGCAGCAGCTGCACTCGTGCGAGCGAGCAACGCCAGGCTGCCTCCCAGAGAGCTCAGGCTTGGCCCGCGACCCCTCCGCTTGCCCCAGCCCCTCTGCTCGCGGCCCGCACAGCGGGCTCACCCAGTCCCAGCCGGGCCGCTGGCAGCAGGCAGCTCAAGTCCTCCTGCAGGTACAGTTTCTGGATGCCCTAGAGAGTTGCCAGCTATGCTAATGGTTTCAGACTCCTCCTGGGAGAGAGGCACCTAAATAATTTTGCAGGCATGGGCTCAAAGAGTCTCCTGCATAAAATGAAGCAATAGTGCCTTGCTAAACAAGCACTGAGAGGATAAATTCATTATTTTTCCCAGCCATAGATGTGGCCTTTTTTAGCATAGACCAAAAATATCCCACACAGAACAAGGTCTGCTGGTCTTTCTCCACTCCTCAGCAGGAGGATGTCCTCATTTCTAAGGGACAAAAGGGCCGTGGCCACAGCTGGGCGCCTCGCTGCACTGCTAACGGACAGGGGAGGCTTGGAGCTGCTGTCCTGCACAGAAGAGAGGTCAGCCCGGGGCAAATATAGGACCCGCTTAGGAGCGGCATTTGCGTGGAGAAAGGCACTGTCAGGGAGCCGGCGTGAGCAAGGCTTTGCACTCTCCAGCACTTCTCGCCAGATGCTGACAACCGAGCATGACAGGCGATTTGAGTCCCTTTTCAGCTGAGCTAGCCACGTCCCCCCTTCCACCCCCCCGTCTGCTTTCCCAAACACCCGCATGGGAAGGATGAGACTTGGGAACCAGGTCAGGACTCAGCATTGCTGACAGGCGGCACCAGGGTCTCCTCACCCAGAATGGGCTTGTTCTTTACTGTCAGAGGCATCAAAGGAGCTGAGCCAGCTGGCAAGCCCAGAAAGCCCTCCTCTTCCAAAAGCAGCTCAGCTCTGCTTACAGTCAGGGGCAGGACTTGGCAGTTCAGCATGTCCTTCCTAGCAGTAGAGAGGAAGCAGGCTCTGGCATCACAGCTGCTTCCCCCGTGTTTTCCTAGGCCCCGGCATTGCTCAAAGAAGGTGCAAACCAAGGTTGGCTCAAGTCCCTTCTAACCAGGTTCCTTGCGCTTTGAAAAGGCAAGTCAGACTCGGCTATCACAGAACTCAAGACCCAAAAGGGCTTCGCGAGTCATTGCACTTCCAGCAATCAGTGGCCAAAAACCAACACAAATGCCAACAACTAGCTAACAGCCGAAAATCTCAACAGGCTCTGATTTTTCAGTTGAACGCATCCTGGATTATTCTGTCTTTTCCTGACACCTGGTAAAAATATGTGCAGCTGCTCTAGAAAGGAGGAGAGACATAAATCAGGAACCTATCAGGAATCCAGCTACGCTGACCATACCACCTTCTTGCAGCTTACTTCCAGCTTTCCAGGACTTCTGAGTCTTTCGGGACATCTGGGTGAAAGATGGGAGATACATCTGTATCCTTCTCCCTCTCCCCTTACAAAGTCCTTAATTTTTTAAATTATTACTATTATTGCTATTACTAATTCTTTAAATTATTACTATTTTCTTTTGGCTTCATACATGCTTTGGAAATACACAAGCTGGAATGCTATCGTGAACAAGCGATATCCACAGCACTATATAAATACCTTGTTCTTTTCAAATACGGTGTTTTTTTCCATTCTCCAATTTTGAGCACTGGTACCTAAAATCCATCAAAGTCTAGAATTAGCTCATCCCTTTATAATAAAAATACTGAAAAGTTCGAGAACAAGAAACAAACGAGATATGAAACAGGTCCTGACCTGACCTGCTTTGTCTGCATCCTCCCCTCCTAAAGCAGCTTCTACACATCTACTTCCACGCACAAAGGCCACAATCCGTCACGCATTGTATTAGTGCCCAACAAACTTGGTATACAGTTGGCTACAGAATGAAAGTCACTATCTCCTCTCCTTCCAGAACACGTTTTAAAAAGCCAGTGCAATGGAAATAATGGTAGAATTGGGAGGGGTTTATTCCCCACTCTTACTTCTACACAAATAAAGTTTACCTTGGGTTGCAGGCAAAAATCCCAAAGCAATATTCTTACATCTCATGGCAGAAGAGCATTGTTCTCAATTTAAAGATCTGGGAACAAAGTGAGGAAGCTAACCCCTGGGATGTCGTTCCCATTGAATCTGACAGGTATGCAGTGTCCCCATAAAAAGTCAGTCTTTACATGCTGCAAGTCTTTGCTAGTGCTGGAATTATGACCAGAGGATGTCTGTGCTTCAAGCTGTCGTGCAAGAAAGTGAACTTACACACACACATATAGTTGCATATATAAAATGCAACTCTTCTCAAGTCGTTCTGAACACAGTTTTTTCTCATCTCAAAAAATACGACGTGATAGAAAGTGCTCAAAGAAGTCAGTTGGTAAGTAAGGCTATATGCATTTTCATCCTGGGAAAAACAACTGGATTTCTCCCCACCCCATCTCCAAAGTGTTCCCAAGTGCTAGTCTCAGTGAAGCCAACTGATGCAGAAGTACCATTGCAAATTGTACCTTGGAAATGAAGCAGGAGAGGCATAAGCTGGCCTGAAGAATCCCCGCTGGCCAGTGACCCACCTAGGATGTTGCAGCTCATGGAGGGCAAGCAATTAGCGTCAGCTTGTAAACAGCAAATGCTGCCAGGAAACCACCCAGGAACAACACACAGCGAGCCGCAGGATGCCCGTGACAGCACAGTTACGCAGTCACTTTCCAGGGCAGGGCTGCGTTTTAAATTAACAAATCTAGTACGGAGGCAATTTATCTTACCTTATCCCCTCTTGTTCCCAGGTTACACCCTATGGAAAACCAATCCCCGTTAGGTCATACATGTTTCCTGTTTAACAGCCAGACACCCTTTATTTACCTAGAACCGAGTTTGGAAGATGTTTCTGGCTCTCTGGATGTAATTAAATACTCTAGACAGCAGCTGTTCATGAGCTCAGCCAAACAAATATTGTATTACGGCACGATGGAAGACTTTGTTTAAAAAATAGCTCTACCTCAAAGGGATTTTGTAAAAATTCACATTTAAAGCAAGATTTATTACTGAAGTCATCACATAGATTCAAAAGTCTGCCTGAAAACCTGATGCTATGCCACCAGTGTGGCAAAGCAAAGATATAACTATACCTGGTTCCGACAAAACCCCTGTTAAACTAGTCAGAACACAAGCCAGCACAGCATAAAGCAAACCATTGCCTTTATTACACCTTTTGCCTCTCTGGATCATGTTCTTCAACTGTAAAACAGAGGCCATCAGCAGGGTAAAACTTCCCAACAGAAAGCCAGCTTCAGAAATGCAGCTTCAGGTGAGCTCATGTGACTGCAGACGTGGGTCAGTGCACCTCACCTCTCTGCTGAAACACAGTCACCCCTTGCGTGTCCCTAGTCTGATACAGAGGTGCAGATACAGAGCTGACTGGGCTTTGCCTAAGCCCCACTTCACACTGCACATGTGCTGGTCTCCAAGCACGAACCTGTGGGGTTAAGGAGCACAGCACAGCCTTGAAAAGATCTTTAAGGAATGCCTGGAAAGTACCTTGAAGTCCTGGGATGACAGCAATGGAGAAATGCAACATAATCCCCTAACACAAACAGAAGAGATCAATGGTCTCCGCTTGCTTATTCATGTATAGGTGCATGCTTGTGCTAGGCCAACACACCATGAAATCCAAGATGTTCTTACAGTGTGGCAAGAAGAGAGAGGAAATCAAATGGATACAATGACTTCAGAGACAACTATTCAAGTGGCAGTTCAGCAATACAAAAAAGCTTGCGTGCGCACAAAGTTCCCATCTCCGCACAAGTACAAAGGATTTATTTCGGTATTATCCAAGGACCACATTAAAGGCGGCCATGGGGAGATGTGAAAAGTAGGGAATGCAGAAGGAAAGGAAGAGGAAAGCTCTGTCAGACCACCAGCGCCAAGGGGAATCACGCAAAAGTTTTCTTCCAAACATATTTCTGAGAACATGTAATGCTGGCCAAGAGCCAGAGTTTATTAAGTGAAAGTTTTCAGATGCCTGATGAAGTCAGTGTAACAGCCACCATGGTTACTAACAGGCCACTGCAATGAGAAGCCAGTGTCTACCCTGGAGTGGAGCCAAGTAAAAGGAGGCCGACCGCCCCTGGGTGGTAGCGGCCAGCAGCAGGGGACGCACGAGCGGGAACGCTAGCAGCTAGAAAAGTCCAATAGGGCTGGTGCAGACAAGAACCAGAGAAGGGAGCAATCCCTAAAGGTGATTCAGGGGGTCCTCAGTTACCGCAGGATCCTAGCTGCCTTGCCTGTCCCCCACATCAGACTGGTGATAAACTGATGAGCATCCACCAGTCTGAAAGGAGCCATGTTGTTGCCAAAATACTGCTCTTCAAGAAATTCCTGCTAAGAAAGGTGAGATAGCAGAGAGGCTGCTGTCAGTAGCGACCTTGGAAGCCTGTCTCCAGCTCCCCGGAAGCCACCTAGAACAATTAAAACTGTGTCAGAAGCCTCTTCCAAGCTGCATAAATGTCAGCAGTCAGCTGGTTAAGTAACCCACTGCCCCCTAAGGCAGCAACGGCTTACGCACAGAGAAACAACCCCCAGCAAGACCTCTTTCTCACTGACCCACTTTCAGGATTCCTATGACCTGGAGAGCTTCTTGCCATATTTACGTTTTCAGAAGACAATACGATCTCCTACCCAGATCAGGGCAGGCTGGTTCTGCACTACCAGCAGTGACAGCTCACACTCTCCCTATGCATCAGCGTGCACAGCCAACACTTCTCATCAGGCCTTGTCTCCTCTACATAGGTCACCACCTGGGGAAGTATAGTGTTTCATTTGCTCTCAGTGTCCCGTCCCTGAAGATGGGTCAGGACAGCAGATGTGGCTCTGCAGTTTCCACAGTAAAACTGTAGGAGCTGAAACCCATCCCCACCTGCATATCTGCAAAGAAGAGCTAACAAAGATGCAGCTGAAGGCTTTGAGGAGCATGGACTAATCTGGATAAGATCATTACAGCAACAGATGCTCTAGAAGACTTTACATAGTTAGCTTGAAAACAGGTTTTTCACCAGGCATTCTTCAGGAAAGTCACTGAGAATTCATGCACAGGACCTCAGCAGCCATCAGGGCAGACTCAGTTTCAACAGACTCCTAAAAACTGCTCTACTACTGTGCAGGGAACAGCCTGATACTTACACAGAAGAAACAGACCCTTCCACACAACAAACAATATTAACAGAAGCATCATCGCTACCAAAAAGGATGATCGAAGTCTCCAACCCCTTACCTTGCTATCCAGCTTCTTCATTGTTACCAGGTCCAAGGACTTGAGCGAGTGCCCAGTTGGAGTGATGAAGTACAGGCAGACATGAATCCTTGTGTCATGATAGTTGAAGAGAGAACGACGGATTTTCAACTCTTCTTGTAAATAGTTTTCAAACTGCGTATCAATGTACTCAACTATCGGCCTGTAACTAAAAATATGCCATTAGCAACCCAAATGCTGGAACTCAAGATTAAACAGTCTGAAGGTTTAATGAATTCTCCTAGACATACTATGATATCATTTAAGAAATATAGTTACAAGAGGCCTAAACAATTTAGCCATCCAACAGGAAAAGTGGCATTTACACACAGACCTAATAATCCAAAGGTTGATGGAATTTCCTGAAACTGTACTACAAGGTCTAACGACAGTGGAGCTGAAGCATGGAAAGATGACTATTTCCAGATATTAGACTTTGCCCAGATCTCAGGGGTGAGCCATCTGGCTACAACAATGCCAAATGACCAAGGATAGAACCTGGGAGTCCTAGAAAGCCTTTACCTGGGGCTTGAACAAGATGTCTGTGTAATTAAATGAGACAGGTCCAGAGAAACCAATCACTGTCAGAACAGATGATTCCCAACCCTGCACCGAGGACAGCTTGTTAACTGGAAGACACCATTCTCTGCTAAAGAAGACCTCCCGTGACCTCCCCATCTCTCTTTAGCTCCTCACCCAGCTCTCTCTACGCCCAGTCCCCAGCACCAGAGCCACCCCATAGGGACCCCGCGTTCACAGAAACACAGACTCCTCCTCTGCACTACTGTGAGCAGAGCTGCAGACAGTTCATGTCTAAGCACCAGAGGCCAGTCCAGAAACACCAAGCAGATGGCACGTGACCTGCCTTTCATCTTTATTTATCTGGTCTCCGAATCCAACCGCATCCACAATTGTTAGTTTCAGGTGAACGTTGCTCTCCTGCAGGTCGTAGGTTCGCGGCCGCAAGCGAACCGCACTCTCATAGTGACTGGCTTCCTCTGTCTCGAATGTGGTGTTGAAGAGTGTATTCATTAGTGTGGATTTCCCAATGCCGGTCTCGCCTAGGAAGGAGGAGTCATCAATTCATGGCAGCATGAATTTGTCACAGGTACTTCAAAGAGCATTAATTACAGAGTAAAACTAAATTATATCGTGAAAAGTTATTACAAATCCCCTGCAGCCAGGCAGATATAATCATCATAAAGGTAATAGCATTCTTGAAGGCCTCCCATGCTTAATGCAAAGCTAATACAGAGCACTTTGGCGTATGATCTTCACTGGGGAGGGGAGACCAAAGTAAAATACTTTTTCCTCTCTGCTGACCCTGACCTTGCTTGGGATCCTGCACCAGAGAAGCTGGGGAGAGCACAATTTAGTGGAGTCTTGAGATGGAGTAAAACTCAACTGCTCCTATTGACAAGGACTATTTGGCTCAGTTGTCAGCTATCCCAGAGCAATAGCTCCAGCTAATACTGCAGCTCAGTGCAAAGTGATGGGTGCTTAGTGTACTTTGGAGGGGGCAGGAAATTTTGCCAGCAAGATTTCTTCTCACTCTTTTCTGTGTGTATTTTAACAGGTTGCTTTACTACTTTCTCTCTTTGCTTTACCTTGCCAAAGACTCTGGGAACTGGTCTTTTTGGAGAGAGGAGACCCCATGAGAAGTGGGAATCTGGGTACCTGTTTCATTGTGTGCAGAGAAACGGGCAGACAGCTTTGAACGTGCCAGGACCACTTGCCACCAGACTGAAAATCTCCTTTCACAGTGGGGAAGGTGCTGGATGAAGGTTTCATGATCCCACTGCACAGCTGAACTTTGGTCTGTCTGGAAGCCTTAAAGCAGCTTGTCCCTCTTCTACAGTCCTATTTCTGTAGTCCCACATGTGCCATTAATAAGTGTCAGAGGGCTAAAACCTCCCGTTCTGCTGTAACCCTTTCCCATTCTGCCTGCACAGCAGCTATACAAAGTCAGCTCTGCAGCTCTTACTCTTCTCTCTCTAAAGCACAGCTCTGCCCTCAGCAGCGGGGCTGAAGCTGTCTCCACCGCCCGCTCGCTCTCCTACCCAGGGGAAATCTGGGCCCTGTCAAAGGGTGCAGTTTGGAGGAAACGTGGGTCAGGGCACCAGAGAAAGAAAACATGGTGCATGTTCAAACAAAAAGAGGTAGTTGCGCATGGACACAAAACTTAGCACGCAGCCTGGCAAGCTCCAGGCAGCAAAGAAGCCCTTTATGGTGGGCAGCCTGATAAGAAGAAACACACCAGTGAGCACCAGGTAGAAGTTTTCTTCGTTTCAAGCTCAAAGCAAGCTCCAACACAAGGCACTCCGTGAGCCACTGAGATCTGCCTCCGCATATACAAACTGTCCAAGGCAGCCCTGCTGCACAGACACGTGTCATGGACAGCAGGAGGTGGGAAATCCTGCCTCTGTGCCATTAAGACCATTGGGAACCCGTGCAGCAAGCAGAACCGGCTGAACGGGAGGGAATGAGCAGCAAACTCTTCCTTCGCATCAGGCGCAAGCTGGCAGGCATCCAGACAACCTCAGCGAGACAAAGGCTGCCTGACAAAGAGCAAGAGGCACTGCTCTGTTTTGAAGGGTTCCAGCTGCACAGAGAGATCTTATAACCCAACCCAGAGATGATGGTGTTTACAACACAGCTGGTTTCATCTCATAATGCTCTTGATTTCTGGAGTTTCTCTTAAGTATTTCTGCTTCCTTCCTTTCTTCACCCCTGTTGTCCCATGACTCTTCATGCCGCATAAACCAAGCGGAGACAAGAACACTGTCTAGGGGAAAATACTTTCCTGGAGCACTGAAGCAGGGCCATTCCGAGGCATCTTCATCTTTCTGGTGGCAGAAAAATATCTGCCGAGTTGAACCTCTAAGATATGCAGGGGGAGAGAATGTGGAGTCAAATGGGGACAGCAGAGTCAACCTTGGTATATTCCTCTGAGAACTAGTAGGGGCAAGGTCAGGAAAAGTCTCCTTTCTCTAGGCTCCCCCTTCCTATGCCATCGAAGGACACCTGGGATGCATCACCAACCAAGTTCTCTCCCAGAATACTTGGAATACAGACTGTGTGTGAGCCAGAAAGGCTTTGAACTGCTGCTCCTGGTAAGTAAATGAGACTGATATTTTCCAGATTGGCCTACAAAGGGCCCCATTTCAACCGCTCATTCATTAAATACAGCCCTATTGGCCAAGGGAGTGAAGACAAACAAAATACAGGAAAACAGCCTTCTGCTCCCTGTGTATTGCCTACAGACAGCCACTACTTGTACTCAACTGACCATGGCCCCCTCACCAGGCTCCTGGGAGCTTGGACAGCCTCTGAGGAGTGCTACAGCAGATGCATAGATGGGAAAACAGGAAGATGAGCAAGTTTCTGTTTGAGAGGGGTGCCATGCCAACTACCGAGGGTTTGTTTTTTTTTCCCATCTTCAAGCACAGCAGATTCTCCTCTTTACCGGAAAATAAATACCACATGGTGCGCAGAACATGGCAGAGACATACACTGTGTCCTACCAGCTGTGGCTAAGTATTGTGCAAGAAAATAAAAACAGCCTGGTGATCCACGTTCATCTAAAAGGAAAGTCATGTGGAGAACTTACTACTGATATAAGCCACATTCCCCTGTTCAGTTTTGGGCACAGCTGGGAACAGGAACTGGCAAGCAGTGGTACAAAATTTTTTTCTCCTCTTGTCCAAAAAAATGCAGTAATGTCTTCCAGTGCTTCACACATTGTATGACCTGATGAAAATGCAAGACTATCCATTCTGGTGTCCCCGAAAATGGCACCAGTTAGACACATATTGTCTTCTGCTGCAATTACCCTTCTCCTAAGGAAGGAGCCCATAAAGTACTGGAGGTTAAACTCTGATTTCACACATGGCTTTACTTGTGGTTTCGATACGCAAAACCAACTTAGGTACAAGCACCTAAAATTTTCAGGATTTCACTGTGCAATCTATAGAAAGCCATATTCTGTTTGGGCAGAATAAGCACCAGGTATGGAACTGCTATATCTGCTATTTCTACTGGTCTAGCAGGTTACAATACTTACGACATCACACAAAAAACAAAAATCAGCTAAAGTAAAAATAATGCACGTCCCACCACTGCAAGGAATTAGTTTTTAACAGTCTAGGCAGCATCACCTGCTAAATCATGCCAATACCAACATTTTTTTTAAAAGGATATAATGGAATTATTTTAAAGTCTGCCTCTTGCACCTGCTGACAGTCCTCAAGATAAATACTTTATAATCAAAACAAACAGGAACCCGCACACACACGCTCTTTCCTAGCACAGAGATGGTCTTGTTTCAAGCCCTTTCACCCACCTGTCCCCAAATTCCTGGGAAACCAGCCAGGCACAGCTCAGGTACTAACTGCTTATCTCTAGCCTTAGGGTATATGCTTATGTTCAGAAATGACCGAGTTACCACCTGCACCTGTCAGCTAACACATGGCCGCCGACCGCATCTACTCGGACACTGCAATCACTGAGAAGCTGCTCGTGTCAGCTACCCCCATTTGCAAAGGGAAATATTTAAGTTGCCATGTACGCTCTTACCTTATCCTCTCCCACAGCTGTTGTGGCCGAGAAGATGAGCAACACCTCACTGAGCTACAGCAGCTCTTCTGGTGTGACCTACAAGGCTCAGTCGCTTGGTTTCCTCATCCTTCTGCAGGGCTGATTGCTGAGGCCATTTGACCTCCCTGCCTGTCTCTGCATTTCCCTGCCTGCACTGGTAGCCCAGCTCACTTGCAGAGCTGTACAGTCCCGCACACATTGTCCTCCCTCTCCCTCACTTAAAGCAGAAAGATGCTATATTAGAACCTTTACCAAAACTCTCTCTAATTTTGGGCAATGAGCATCCAACAATCACTAGTGAAAGTCACAACTCAGAAATACCAAAGCCTAGTGAATTCAAGTTCACCAAAATCAATAGGCATTTTTGAAGAGTTAGGCATTTCTGGTTGGCTTAAAGTCACCGTCAAGGCCTGTGTCACAGCAAGACATGCCTCAGATCCTAGTCCCAACCTCATAGCATCACTGGTTCGGCCCACGTCTATTTGCAGAGAACTTCGCTCACCCACACAGAGGATGTTGAAGCTGAAGCCTTGCGTGACAGACTTGCTGACCAGCTGATCGGGGAGACTGTCAAATCCAACATGGCCCCCCAGGGCAAGGTTCCTCTTCTCTTCGTTCTGGTAAAGACAGCAAATCAGTTCAGCAGTTAGTGCAGGGAGGCATAAGAGGAACCACCAAGTCCAAGAAATAACCACCCTCCCCTGGGTACTGCAGAGCCACCGAAGCAAACCCTCGCACCGCCCGTGGGAGCTCGTCTTCTGAAACGCCACATCTCAAACACTTTGGCAGCCACCAACAATAGAAAAGAGAAAAATATTGATCTTAATGGGAAATTATCTTAGAGCCAGAACCAAGCTATCAGGCTACAAAGGAAAGAAAATATTAGCATGAGCTCCAACTGCATGCAGCTGGGAGAGATTAACAAAGGAAACCACCACCGTGCGTTTTATCACTTATTTCTCCTCCTCCTCCTTTATTTTAATTTCTTAAATCCTCCAGCACTGAATTCAGCTAGACAGAAGCCGCATTTTCCTCCTACTTGATCTTTTTTCCTTCGCTATTTCTGTAAGCACTTTTGTTTTGTTCAGCCATGCTTCCAGGGGTGCTGGTTGCGTGGAGAGCCAAAGGAACCCTCTGGCTTTGCCATCTGCGATCACGGTGGTTTCTACCATGCCTCTGCTGTTCCTGTTCCTGTCTCCCCCCACGCTTTGCCTTTCCTGCTGTCTCCTCCCTCCCCTGCAGGGAGACGGAGCTGATCACCTGAACTGGAAGCTTCGTTTAAAAATTAAGATAATAAACATCTAAGGAACACCAGGCAAAGTCTGAGACACCTCCAGCCGCAAACTGGAGAGGGGCTGATGTGCAAGGAAGTACCAATCTGCGTGGCTAGAATAGGTCTGCCTTCAATTTCCTCCTCCTGTGATGGCCTTTAGAAAAAAACAAAAAACAACCCCCCAGAAATCCCAAACAAACAAAAACCCACGAGCTCCCACAGAAGGCAAAGACCAAACTCTGGCACAGGGGGAAGGGAGGAGCACAAGCGCACAGCCCACGGAGGCTCCGGGCTGCCCTCCGGGCGCACGCGCAGCAGCTCTGCCACCGGACAGACGGGCTGCCCACGGGCACTTTCTCCAACAGCTCAGGCAGGCTCTCCGCTGCAAGCTGTCGCAGCTACTCAGCCTCTTTCAGCTCAAGTTTGTTTCCGCAGGGACCAAATTTGGCCCACATGGGACAGTTACCAGGAATGCTCCAGTCCCAACAGTCCTTGCAGAGGAACGGCCACGTCTGCCGTCCCTGCCGCATACGATCAGCCAACGACGCTGAGCAAGGGGCAGGCAGAGCCAGACTTGCTCTGCTGCACAGCGCGGGGAGAAGGAAAGACTGACCCAGACAAGCCCAGCCTGGGGTGCTGGATGGAAAAGGATCAAACTCACCTGAAATAACCAGGTCAAGTGCAGCTGGAGGATGAGTTGGGGTGGGAGGATTTATGCTTCATGTTATACAGAAAGAGTCTAGATCATCCATAAAATCCAAAAGACAAGAGTCAACAGAACGGGTCATTTCTGCTTCTGTTCTGGTTAAGAACAGGAGAGCGTGGATTTGCACAGATGTTTTATCAGATTTGGCCACCTCTCTGCACAGCTGAACAACATGGTCTGAACCAAGGGGCAAGACCGCCGCGCTTACAAACCGCCTCTAATGTACCTTTAGCCTTCCAGGGAGAAGCAGACACATGACTTCAGAGCCTGATTCATTCGCCCTCGCCGTTTCTTTGGTGAATAAGTCTGTTTTCCTTAATCACCAGCACACAGGGAAGAGGGGGATGGAGAAAACATCTACGTTTTGTTTGGCTCAGGTTCTTCGGTCTGTTCCCCACAACTTGGCCTTAACGGCCGGTACCAAACATGAGACTACAGAGCCTGAGAAGAGACTTAGCCGGCTGTCAAACTTTAAATTAATTCCCAAGAGGGAAAATAAGCTGGGACATTAATATCCCAGGAGGAAAATAAAAGAAATAACAAGAAAGACAAATAAGAAGAAATAACAACTTTATGCCTACAACAAGACCCTAAAGAAAACATGAACATGATCAACTGCATCTTGAGTCATCTTCCTGCATCTTCCTTTAATTCTGCCTTTGGACAAACGAACAAATATTCTCATTTTTGTAAAATAAACCATTTAAATCACAAGAACAACTTGTAAGTAGCTGAGGCAGCTACTATGCATGAAACACAATTTTTTTGGCTGTCCTGATTAGCATTTGTTACCAACTTTCCGATGAAATTAGGCCAGCGGTCTCCCACCGGACTCCCGGGACAGAAGCACAATCCAATCGTAACTGGGCTCTCGCAATCAATTTTGTTTTATTCCGTAAGGATCGATCCTTCTCATTAACGAAGCGGAAATAGCCATCATTTAAAGTTTTCCTGCGGGAGACACTGAGTCAATTAAGGTTTTGTTGTGGCCAAGAGTTTACACAAACACTAAATGGTTTTAAAGGGGCTTTGAAAACACAGACGCCTCAAAGTCACGCTTTTACGGAGACTGTCACAGCGACCGGGAGGCTCCCAGGCCACTGCCCGGCTGGGACGCAGCGTTAGAGGAGCTCAGGTGAGGCTCCTCGAGGCTCTCAGCCCCCTCCGCTCTCCTCCAACCTGTCTCTCCCCTCTCCTGCCCCTCCGCGCCACGTTATAGAGCTCAAAATACCAGTTACCGTCACCGCGATGCAGCGACAGCAAAGCAAATCGCTCCCACAGCAAGTCACCGCGTTTGATAGTTACGCTCCGGTTCTTTATTTTATTTAAAATAATAAACAGAAAAGCAAGCAAACAAAAACACACAAAACAAGTCTGCAAGTGACATTGTGGAAAGGAAAAAGAGAAAGCCTGCCTGCGGCTGTGATTAGCAGGCGAGCGCCCCGAGGCCTGGAAGATGTTTCTAGGCAACAGGCAGCACCACTGCTCGGGATTTTAAAATAGGCTCCAGCTAGGCTAGGCTAAATTGAAAACTCAGTCATGCTCCGGCAGGAGAAAACCCAAACGCATTTGCGCAGGGCTTTATTTTCTCTCCTCTTTTCAGCTGCTGCTCATTATGGGACAAGAATACATCTACCCAAAGCTGCACATCAGCTCTTCAAACCGCTAAGCCAAAGGGCCAAACTTCAGTGAAATATTTTTGTCAGTGACCTTGAAATGCACAGTTTCCTTTTATTTCTGTAAGCAGTGATAACAATCTGGTTCACGTCCAAGACGCTGCTGATACCAGAGCAGAAAACCGTTTGCTCTGCTTACGGCCCGTTCAGCTGTCACTCAGCTACCGAAGGAATTTGCTATTGTTGCTGTGTTAGGACAAACAATGGCAGCAACTACTGCAAAGCATTGAGAGCAGAGGGAAAACGTTATTTTACTCCCCCCACACCAAGCCATTGAATTTACAAATTTGAGAGCCTTGAGTACACAATCGCTGCTTCTGTGTAAGGTCTGGTGCGATGACTTGCCCTGGGGAGGAAACTCTCCCAGCCGCACGCAGCGACCACTGCGACCAGCTCCTGCAACTACCTGCCACCCATTTACACGTCTCGTCTCACCCCAAAATGACTAACCCTCTTTCAACCAGCTCCTGCTCTCCCGGGCTAGCTCAAGGACAGCTTGATGTGGTTCACCTGATAATAAAGACAGCAATGTCATACTAAAAATGACCTTTGAAAAAAAAAAAATAAATAAAATCATTGATTGTCTACCGAGAGCTTCAAAGCACCCAGGGCTTTTCAGCAGCGGCCAGCCAGCTGTCCTGAAGAGCTCAGTATAAATAACCAACGCGGAATATCAATGCTACAACAGATGAGGGCAGCGGTAAGGCAGCAACAAGGTTTTCGCAAAAGCCAAGAAGTTCAGTAGGGCTTTTTCCATGTTTGCGCTCAGAGCCAAGCAGGCCGTGTGTTTGTCTCTGCTACTGGTGGTGCTGCTGGACCCAGAGGTGCTGCTGGACCCGGCCGGGAGCGCGAGCGACTGCCCTGCAGGAGGGGAGCCGCCACAGTGGCAGGGGCACCGTGAAAAGCAGCCCTGCCCTGTCCTTACTAGCCACCCAGCTTCCTGCAGCGCTCCCACGCTCAGCAATGCCCCACGAGAGTGTCTTTGGTCTCGCATCTCTCCTGTCTCACCAGGCGAGGCCCCATCCTGGCACTGCCAATAACCGAGAGGCTCCCGATGACCAGGACCGGCCCATTTAAGTACCGCATTGCGAAATCTCTAAGAGCTTGTGATGGCTCCGAGCACCGATTCCCACCACAACCAGCTGCTACAGCCCTACGCAACCCCCGCTCAGGCGCTAGCGGCGTCCTATGGAGGGCAACTACCCAGATTTTACTCCAAGCCTTTGAGCACGCTCTTTGAAGATCTTCTATGCTTTGAGCTATACTTTAGGGCTTGAACCAGAGATATAGGGAATAATTTGTATTAAGAGTGTATAAACTGGTGGGAAACAAATCATCAGGAGGTCAAGAGCAGAGTTTATTAACTAACAAATCCTAAGTGAGTTAAACATTTTAAGCCTGCCTGGCTGAGCTGCAGAGTCTGTCCAGGCAACGCGCGCAAAGGGCGCCCGGGGCCACGGCTGCAGCGAGCGGGCAGCAGCCTCCCAAAGGAAATCAATTGCAGCTCTGGTTTGACAGGCACGTCACAGGACCCCTCGAAAGGGCACCAAAACTCTCCGGCACTAAAGCTAAAAGAAGGAGATGCCCTTGGCAGCACAGCGGGCCACGCTCAGCTGAGCACCACGGGAACCGAAAGCAAACCTAGAAACCCAGCACTTGAAACGCGCTGCTGCTCCGGCACGGCCGCAAGACGGTCTCGTGTCTCAGCCCACCGGCTGAAGGCCTGGGCACGGCCCCAGAGGGGCTCCCACCTCCAGCACGGCATCCCTCAGCATCACCCCAGCCCCGAGGGCTGACACAGCAGCAGCCCAAGCAGCAGGCGCAGGGAGCGGGGCGAAGGGACGCCTTAGGGCAGTCGGGAGCAAGAAGACCAGCTGCCCCATGCAGCTGCCCCTTAGCCACATAATTTTCCCAGCTGGGCTCCTGGTGCAGCACGGAGAAGCTAGCCCCGCTTGGTAGAGG